GTAAATAAACAAATTCAAGTTCATAGAATCGACATTCATCTAATCATTGAGTTCTCTGTGTAACATATACGATGATGTTTATGTTACATTTTGTGTGTATTAATAATGAAACAACGAATGAACTTATCGGCTATCGTTTTTTTAAAATACTTCTTATGCGTCTTATTTACTGACTGTCACTAATGTAGGTGTTGGAAATATCCAACATTTATGCATGTGCAAATGGTGATATACAAAACTTACATAAACATGCCCAATAAATATGTGTACACCCTGATAAATGAGAAAAGTTTATTCACTGATAAACGGAAATAATCTCGAAAGAAACAAAAAGAGGGTTTTAATATTTGAAACGATCCATGTTTCTGTTTCTGTTGTTGCACGATATTATATCATTAGTACAAATCGTCTAACATTATGTATTTGTGTGTATTCAGGCAAATAGAGGATTTTCAAACCTAACTGATAGTTATATTCTAAGTTCCATTTCTGTCAGTTCATGAATTAGCATCTAGCTTTGTTACGATTTGTTATATACAGGCTCTGATATGAACGTATACCATGTAAGTATTATTTTGGTTACCCTTTCACCTTGTTACTTGTTTCTTGACCATGTTTTGCAAATTACTACCCATTTTAAGGGATAATTTATTTGGAACCATGGTATTATGGTCTGTACATTCGATTTTTTATCACGAATTCACACTCAGTCCATGTGATTTCGTCTTAAAAGTCACTCTAGTCTTCGTTTAATAGATGCAGCTGACAGTGGCACGTGTTCATGCTGATGTAGTGATATTTTCTACAATTTTGCCGGGGACAACAACTTTTCACTACTTAGAAAAACACAAGCTACTATAGGCACAAAACTGATGTTTCTAAAATCAATGTTTCAAAAGAAATTTCACAAACTAACGTAATGTCGATTAGATACACCGATTACGTTTACTGTTGTTTAAAACTGCGGTTCGCTTTCAATTTATGACTTCATCTTGATAGTTAAAAGAAATATTTGTTAAGTCGAACTCTGAGCCTCATAGGAGATAAGCAAAAATTAGTTTTACAGAGAAGATCCCTTTTGTATTTAGGATTGTAACACTCATTTATTATGGCTTTACCACTACCACTTCCTGAGCACTTTGAGTGCAATGAAAATTGAAATGCATTGTAAATACACTCCAACTTAGAAGTAGGAATACATTTGGACTTTCCAACACCCTTTTGTCTCCCTTAGTTTCATCTCAAAAAGTTAGGAAACATTATAATATACAGCAAAAAAATAAAAACACATTTCGGTATTTGGGCTTAAAATAACAGTCGTCCTAGCAAGACATTTCAACAACTGTTTTTAGAACATCTGTGAAGTTGGTGCAACTGGAAATCATCCATCGCTAATAGAGTACTGAAATTATTATGTCCGATGACAGATACCCACTGAATTAAATCCAAACGTTTTCCAGCAACAGGCATTCATACTCATCTTGCTGTAGTGAAGCAACAGATTAAATACTTTCAGCATGGTCGAGTACATATTGTCTTTTTAGTAAGTTGACAGCGAAGAAATATTCACTTTTCAAGTTTTATAAGTTTTGCAACTAATGTCGTTCTTCCTCCTTGAAGCTAGTAGACTACCTATAGTTTCAAGTGAAATCTATATCAACCTTGAATAATTGTAATAGCTAAGTATGTTTTCTGAAGAATACTCTGAAGTATGATACATTATCTGGACAACAAATGTCTGAATTTTAATCCTAAAGGTAAATTCAAAAAAGTGTTGAATAACTGCTGTAAAATATACTCAGATCACTGCAGAAAGTACGCATTATATTGAATAACTTGGTTTTGGCAGAAAATACTTGATTACTGTAAGCGATACTTAGAATGCTTTCGAATGTAAGTCACTGACTAGAAGCTTCAACCATGCTTCTATCTGTTGCGTGAAAAATTAAAAAAAACCCAATCTGCCAACATACTGCACCATAAAGTGACATAAATTAAGGAACCACTACAAATCAGAGTAGGCTGAATACTAATCGCATTTCACTTTGCAACTTCTCAATAGTATCTACTGTCATTCTGAGTAGTGTTGAATTATTAATCTTATGGACTTGCAGACAAGATATATAAAACGAGTTCACGAGCTAACATCCGATAGATAACTTTTTAGCTTTTGGAATCATCATATCTAGGCACTCAGTTACCCAGGCTCTTAGTTCAGTCAATCAATCCTTATTAAACCAAGAAAGTTGTAACCACGATAAGACTACCAACATCAGACGAATCTATTTCTCAAAACCTCCTAGTGGAATTAAATATCTGTTCTCAGGTGTTTATGACATCTGACATTTCCTTCGTCGAGGATTTTAATCATTTCAACCCAACTTGGAAGATGGGAATAGAGTAGTAGTGAGAATCAAGTGGTATATATTCAATAAACTTATATATCTTCATATATACTAGTCAAAAGAAACATTTTTAAATTAATACTTTTTTACTTCACATTATCATTTTTATTTGTACAAATACCTGGGTGAAAAATTGTTTGATATTGTCGTGTAACAGAGTGTAAATACTTTTATCTTGTTCAAATTTATGCCAATAAATTATAACTGATGAATCAAAATATTAGTGGCAAAACAAAAGGAAGAAACAAAACTTCAGTGCAACAACAATAAAACAAACATTACAATACAAAGAATAAACTGTAACCCATGGCCATCAATACAAACCATACCTTATACTTGCTTATTCTTTACGTTGACTGGTGTAGGTGCAGCAAAAATGGATGTAAAAATCACTGTGTTATAAGTAAATTGGATAAAGTGGTTGCATGCATTTTAGCAAATTGATTAAATATACCACTATTCCTTTATAGAGAATGAAAAACCGAATGGATTGGGTTCTGAATAACTGAAACGGGAGAAAAAATATACGAAGAATTTAATAATTAAGCAAAATAAACAGCGTATTAATTTTCATATTAACGGTTTTACTAATGGTACTTTTGGTGATATGATCAGTATGACCATGAAATAACATAAAGTGAAGAAAGACTGAAAACCATGAAACTTTGAAAAGGTGTTTTATTTTAGTTGGGAGCCCATGAATTGTTCGGGGTTTCTACAGATAACACTTAAGTCTGGTGGTTAGGACGTACAAGCTCCGAGGTTCAATTATGATTAAACAAAAATGACTTTCGCAAAACGGCATTAGTTCCACCACAGCTAAAAAAAAAACTTCAGTTATTTTGACGGGTAGAGTCAGAGCAGTATCGTTCCGTTTACGCACTAACCATCAACAAAACTGACTGTCTGACAGCCATAAATATAGTCTGTTTAAGCCACAAATTTAAAAGAAATATTTTCTCGCTCGTAAAGATGCCTCATCAACAGCAAAAACAGTTACCATGGCTTCATGCAAAGTATTACAAACAAAACACTAGTTGGCATATGAAAGTGAAATGACGACTTTCTATCTACGAAGTTTGGAATATTCAGTTTAGAAACTGCACGGACGGTTATTCACTGAATTAACATTTCGTGTAAATACGGGGTGCTGACTGAAGATGCAACGAAAGCCTGAGTTGCGGTATGATTCTAATCAAAAGCCTCTGGGTTATTAAGGTAGTAACTACCTAGCATTAAAATGTAGAAGTATTCACCGACAACCTTGAAAATGCAATTAGTTTTCAACGTAAGAAGTTAGCACCTTATAAAGACTTGACTTATGTATTCGTCATTTGTATCGTTCACTTGAATAGATTCATAACTTAGCATATAAAGCCTATCCGGTTGCATAATAGGGAGAGATGAAGCAGACGTTGAGTATAACAGTGTTTTAACAGTTTCAAACAGAGAAGTTATCAGTATAATTTCGGAAATTCCGAGTAAAGTGTAAATAAGTATGTTCACCTGCCACTAGAAGTCACAACGTAGGACATTTCGGAACATAAAAATGGAATGCATACTCGTAGACAGAATTCGGGCAACGTCAAAGAACTGTTATAAAAGTACTTGTCAACTAATTAAAGCACTGAGAAAATTATCAGATGGAAAAGAATGTGAGTTGTGATCAACATTTATGAAATGATCAAGCTGAATAGACGTAACAAGATTTATCACCAAGACAGCTGAAGTGCAACTGCTTTTTTTTAGGTGCATGGGCCATGTTAACCTCTTAACTAACATGGCCTCGATGGCCTGAATGAAGTAAAATGGAATTTTATTGTTGAGTGATTACATGTTGATTATAAGTAACAAAATAATTAAGTGGTAATCTGACCAGAAGTGAATATTCAGATAGCTTGTTCATTTTAGAATTATTACGGTACTTTTACTTTTCAGTTACAGTATATATGAAAAGATTTTGGTTCCTGTCCGCCTCTGTTTCCTTTCCCATCATAAAAGATTAATGCATGTTCTTTTACATGGAATGCGATGATAACATGAAGCATTTTTTCTCACTAATCAGAAAACTTTACTTGTAGTAACAGGAATTTTTTTCAGATCAAAAGACAATAAAAACAAAGAACACCTGCAAGTATGTAGTTCGTTTCTAGAACCGTTTTATTGGAATTCGGTCTATGATCACTGTTGTAGCCGGATTACAAGCCTAAGCCTCAGAAAAAGCGTACCAATAACCGAGAATTACAAAGCAATGAAGTAAGATGCAGTACCATGTTTCCTTCGGTATCATGTTTTTCACAAAAGAGACCAAAAACGGGGAAGGAACTCTTCAATTCATATTCATTTCATCAGTTGTTCAAATGATATTTTTTCAACATGAAGATACTTTTCAGTATATTGAATTAAATTATTTGAAACAGTTGACCCGCATCTTACGGATATAAACTCACTCAAAAGTAAAGAAGCAAGCTAGACAACCTTGAGGAAATTTGATATTGCAATTAGCCTACATGTTTGAAGAAACTCACTTTTAACACAGGGAATGTTATTGCTTCATAAATGAACCCTTTTAATCTAGTTATTTTAAACACTTGATCATGATTCATCACTTGGGCTGGTAGTGATTTGATGGTTTGAATGATTTCTATGCAGACATAATGATCTGGCATATTGTTGTGTTTCTCTGTTCAATAAATCTAAATTGTTAATATTACCGTGAAATAAACTTGAGAAGTTCTCATCTCTTTGATGCAGCAACTTAGGATATAGTAAATTATTGTTCAGATTGGAAGAATTGACGCAGAATTTCGATGTGTAGGGTTTCTGCTGTTCAGTAGATGGTTGTTGATGTGTTAATGATGACAATGATGACGGCATAGATGACTGATTTTGTTCCTGTGAATGTTGCAAGTGTTGTTGGTAGTACAAGTAGAATGCTGCCAATGTACTAGGAGAAAACAAAGACGAAGAACCACTTGGGAAATGACTGGAGCTACCAGTTGCAGTAGAGGGTACAAAATCTGCTGTTACAAAATTTGGAACTGAAGACAAGATATCTTTTGGCTTCCTATCAATGTTGCTGCTATCGAATGAGTCAGCGGTTACATTACTCATTTTAACTTGGCATGTTGATAATTCATATGGGCTTTTAAAGAAATTTTGAGCAGACTGCAAATTTCTGTTACTCTGTGAAAACCAATTTTCACATGAACTGTTTTGTAAATCTATAGGATTCTTTTCATTTGATGTTTCATGATGAGAATGATCAGAATTGTGTTTTTCGTTCATTATATCGACTAGGGACCAAATTTTTCTTGTTTTTGGCTTTACGGTAATACCAGATTTCTCTGTATATTGTTCATTTTCTGCATTTAGTAGGAGAGAGGTAGGTGTCGGAGTACAAACGCTTTTATCAATATCTAAACTTGCCCGTTTCTTTGGTATTGAATCAGTTTGATCACAGCCGTTTGGAAAACTACGTATTCTGCTCAGTTTGTTTCTACCACCTTCAATAACAGCACCTAAGCATCCATGTTTATCAAATAATTTGCCCATTGATAACTTCTCATAATTTTCTGAATGCTTGCTAATTAAATATTGTTTTAAGCCTTCTAAACCGGTAATTGTTGATAAATCGTGCTCATTATTAACCTGGTTATGAGTATGACTAACACCAACGGAATCATCATCAAAGTCATCACCATCATCATCTTCAACGGAACGGCCATCTTGTTCAACATCTGACGAGCAATCTGTGCGCAGATTCCACGTAACTTTATTCTCTTTTTTTAATCTTCTTCTTGCATTTGCAAACCAGGTAGATACTTGGGTTAAGCTCATTTTGGTAATTAATGCCAGCATGATTTTTTCCCCTTTAGTTGGATATGGATTTTTACGATGTTCGTTTAACCAGGCTTTGAGCATACTTGTTGTTTCTCTGGTAGCATTTTTACGCCGACTGGTACTCGATAATTCCACAGGACAGCTGAATGAGAATACGGACAAACGGGAACAGATAAAATTTATATAAACAGTTATAGGTGATTAGTAATTACTCAGTTTTTCAACAAATATGTTCTAATCAACTGCTTCACCAATCACTTTCATTCATCACGCAATTAGATAGGTTTTGATTAATGTATATTTCGTATTCAACTTCGGTAAGATAATCTTCCTAATTACAGATAAATCAAGTCAGTTCTATATTTCAGTTAAATTAATCTCAACACATACCAAAATGTAAGTTCTGGAATAAAAGTTGAGGACGTTTAGACGCATTTGAAAAGCTTACGTTAACATTACCAAAGAATATGAAAGTATATTTCCGAGAAATCCACTCAGTTTTGTGTCTTATATAAACGTGGTCTCATTGGTGTTGAATGACAACAAACACTATGCTAGTGATTGTAGAAGTGTTTTTCAGTATTTAGCATAAGATTTATACTAATGCATTTTCATACAAACTGCTTAAGTGAAACCAAGCATGTGATCAACAGCATATGATTCTTACATTGAACTTCAGTGTGACTAAAAGAATGACAGGTCAAGACAGGTGGTTTGAAACTTAAAAGCTACAAATAAACTAGCAGCAGACTGTAATTTGTCCCGTACTTTTCACTAGGGGAATTTTGTAAATGACGATTGACTAATTAAGATCTAGTGATTTAACCTCTGCATATTGTGAACTAGAAGTACTGTTAACTTACAACACTCTACAGTTTAACAGTAATTTGCAACGGTTTTTAAAAAGTTAATTTATTTGCGTATTGTGGTAAACTATAAATAACAATGGTGAAACTTTAGTTTAGACATACTCCTACTTTTGCGATGATGAAAGTTAGTGGAGTGGCTTTAAGGGGCACGCAAACAATATTGATATAACCCGATTACTTTCCACTCTATAAACGATTACCATTTCAACCGAAATAAACGTAACTAATTGGTTACTCCAATCGTTGCTAGGGTGGCATTTAGAGTCACTTGTACTAAGCAAATAGGCTTGGATTGTAGCACTTTCAGATAGCTGATAAAATATACTAGACCGTAAGAATAATCCCTGGTTATGTATGCCATTAAATAGCAAATTTAATTTATTATAATATATATTTAAATTATTGCATACCATGATCCACCATAGAACGTTAATAAGTGAGGGTCTATATTAGAGGACACAGCGTTTTTCTGAAGTTGTTGCCAACTTTCCAAATTTTCCTTTAAAGAGAAAGATAAGGAAACCGATTAGGAATTCTGTTTTCATTTCAGATACACATGTTTACCATTTATGTCTATAGTGACTCAGGCAATAAAAGATTATGTAGTGATATGTAAAGTTAAACTAATTTTCACTAAAGATTTGGAAATCTTCCCTGAATTACTTTTACTGTATTGTATAAGTAACTCACTTAACCATCCCCTGCGTAATAAAGCCTCAGTTAATTGTAGTCAATACTTTTCAACTGCCGTATACGATCTGCATAACCTGAAGTTTGTGCAGACTAACAATAATTGTCCGTTCACTGTTATGTGTTTATTCAACAAATGAATAGTTTTTCGGTATCCAGTGATTTTTCTTCCTAAGAAAATTGTAGAAAAACTCCTTGGTAATTTTAACACGAAGCAGATAGAAAAATGATTTTTTGCTGGACAAAATTTCTGTTCTAATTCAGAGTCCTCTTGGTAATCACTTGGTGTTCATTCACTTATCATACCCCTCAGTTTAGCATGCTATCAACATATCTTAAGTACCTAAGGATTTTGACTTGTTGCATGTTTCTCTGCTGTCATTTTCCTCTGCTGATACTTGATGAAATCGTATAACGGATTCAAAGTTGCGATAGTACACCGAACACCTTTCTTGGTTTTAAATGCAGTATTGTAGAAAATTGCTGAAAAAGGCATTGGTTGGTCACTGGAGAGAAATCAGTCTCATGTTGTCTAGTCATGAGGGTTGAACAAACTCTACGTCATTCACAATGTTTCTACAAACAGTGTGCCAACAAGCTTCCTTCCGATTGCCTCCAAACAACCAACATCCATCAGAGTGCACCACAATATTTAGTCTTCCAGTCTGGTGGTCGCATTGCAAAATGATCGGTAGAACTCTATCAACACTTAGGATTAAACAACAAGAAATTGGTCACCCTCCAATGACCAATCAGTGTACCTAATCCAGTCCTACGTTAGGCCAGTTGCTACCCGAATAGCTCGGTAGTAACGTCGCTGAATGCAATGCTGGGTGAGGCGAGTATGAATCTCTGACGAGACATCAGTACTATTGAGGATGCAGATACGCCTTGCTGATGGGTGCCAGCAAACGCGAAACATAGGTTCAGTGCTTTTTGTCAATTGCCTCCAACCAACTGCCGAGAAATATTTGGTTTCACAAAAATGAGATGGTTAAGCTGACGCATATAGCCGTATTCTTTGTTGTAATTCTGAATTATGTGGCCATCAGGAAAACGGTAAAGGAATTTTATGTGACTATTTTATCTCATTCCTAGGCCTTTGTAACCTAAACTGAACTCACTTCCTGTCTCAACAAACTTAGCTGCTGAAGTGGTGGACTAAACCTTAGTATGCGGCAGATCAACTCTCCAATAGTTCTTGATTTCAACATCTGTTTGACTGATCTCGGAAAGTGAAGAATTCCTTACAAATTACAGTAATTTTAATTAAACTAAGGCGCCGTTTGTTTGCTAACTTGTGCGCTCATGTCAACTTGATTTTGTTCATGCAAACATGTAGGTAGCCTTTAGAATAAAGAAAAGTATTACACGTGAAAGTAACCCAAAACTTACTGTGTAATCTAGATAAAGATTGAGAAAAAGGCAGAATAAATTGAATATAGGAATTATAAGGAAAATGATTGTAGCGAAAAAATGAAGAAGACATGACAGCGAAATAATGACTCAGAGAAAATGAACAGAATAATGAAAATAAATACATATTCGATAATGGTGTTTTGCTTCTTGTTTACTAGCAGTGATAAGTCGGTTACAATATTAAATTTTTGGTTCTTGGTATTTTTTGATTCTGATGAAATATATCAAAGAAATCCTGTCATTGAGCTTATATCCAAAACTGATCCACGATTTCCTCCAAACAACTAGATCTATTTCGATTGGCTTGAGTAACAGTAATATAATCTACTTGGTGGCTAGCAGTGGAATTCAGGGCATGTGTTTCGTCCTGTTTGCAATTCGTCAGCTGGATGTAACTACCTCACAGTGAGTGATATTGTCCCCGTCGAGACTCCAACCTAGTACCCATCGCTTCAAACGCTACAGTGTTATCCACAGTTTTATTCATCTCCTTTCTCCCTTGTAGATTTATCTGAATCTGAACTGGAAGGCTACTGTGGTGTAGAAATTACATTTGTTTATTGCTTGTTTATGTTAAAAGTGAAGAAAAACAACGGATAACTGAAGCAAGATTGAAAACTGGTTAGTAGCAGTGCCTTATCGTCTATTTCTTAGAGCGCATTAGGAGTAAGCAAGGGATTTCTGCTTTGAAATTCAATCTACCAGTTATCACCCCCAAAATATTCGGTGGCATTTTTCACCGAGAACTAAGCCTCTTCACATAACTTAGAAGTTTGGATGAAATATTTATAAAGTAAATTTGCAAACCACAACATGAACGTAAACTTAAATATAAAAATGAAGATAATTTTTTGTTTCATTTTGTGAAATATTACAACCTGAATGAGCCACCTAATTTCACTGAGCTAATACTCCTATCTACCCAGTATGCGTTTTAGTTAAAAACAATTCTAATCAAAGAATTGCACACTAATTAATTGTGACTGTGAATATCATTGAACTTATTGAGGTGACACACACACATACACACTCAAGGCTTACAGAATAACGAAAAACCATCAATTAAACTTTTAAAGAACATTTGAATAAACTCTCACTAGTTACGTATATTGCATAAAAAACTATACAAATCAAAATATCATAAAGCATATTCGATGTATCCTCTAAGCGTTTTTGTCCACTTGAACAAAGAAGAGCATAGTCATTGCATACAAATTAATAAGTGTTCAAAATTGAAGCATTTGCTTTTTTTCTTTCCCAATCAAGGACGGAATATTTACCATGTTAAATTCCATCTATTATCACCTTTGCTGTTAATCCATCCTCACTTTCGTCATCAGCTTAATACTGCTAATTTTGTCATTTTCAATAGTGATTAAACATAATATGTTATTATGACGTAGTTTTGACAACATGGTGTAATGGGAATTATAATTAGGTGAAGATCCCACTGGTGTTGTTTTGTCCAACCTACCCCCTCTCCCTTTTAAGAAGTCTAATACTTTTGGAATAAATATCTCAGGATAGATTGGAATAGTGTAGACAGATCATGTTACTTTAGAGAATCGGTCACTTAAAGCAAAATTCTGCAGGACGATATGCAGCTGCTGTTATTTAATCCTTTTTTCTACTCTGTACAAATAATGTTAAAAATGCGCGTAAAATCGGAAGAAATTCTTCTAAGTAGTTTTATATCCCCACTGTTTAGTGTTTCACCGTAGGAGAAACGTGGAAGTCGTCCCCGAAAGAGCCGTGAACCTTTTCACCTGGTGTCTTAGATGTACACGCAATTTGTTTCAGCTTATTGTAAAGCCTATACGTACCGTTTCCTGGCACCTGTACAGACGACAACTAGACGTCAACTAGGCTACTTTTACTAGCCCAACCAGCTGACGTATTATCAGCTTTATTCCATATCCAATGATAAGCTACTTTATGTTTAAAAATAAGTTTTCCAAATAAATCCCTAAGTGAGAACTGAGTGATAGTCGACGAAATCTTTCGGTTGCTGTCGGTGTTGATGAAATTTTTCCTTCGTTCACCTTCTTTAACGTGTTGTGTTTTCACAGCTAATGTAAATCTGTGAACTTTTTTGTATTCTTTACCTAACTCTTAGTATTAGTTTGCTCTATGTAGAATACTTCTGCCTTCACACACTTTACAAATCCTTTAATTGTTCCCAGGATATGCATAGAATCATCCTATGTGTGGACAAGTTCAGTAGTACTTCTGGTAGCGCTAATCACTCAGTTCTTTGATTTCTACTTCATAACATTGATGAGAAACATTTTCAAGTTTATGCTTTTTGGTCTAATTGATTCATGTATGTAGAGTTTGTTGATATTTTTGCTTTTATGTTGTAGGTAACTGGCAATAAGTCGCAAGAAATGAAACACTAACATACGGTTGTGCTCCGATCGTTAGCGGGTAAATTACGCCAGCCCGAATAGCTCGGTAGTATCAACTTAGAATGCAGCACCGAGTGATATCAGTTTGAAATTCACGCTGTACATTAGTTCCGTAGAGGTTGCAGGTGAGTCTTGCTGACAAGTGCTATCAAGTAAGAAACATAAGTGCATGGCTTTCTGCCTATTGCTCCCTTCCAACTAACATGTCAGTAAATTTAATAACTTCGTTACATTTCAGTCAACTTATTAGTGTGCATGCATTTAAGCATGCACCCCCCACTCACTGTAAAATCTGTAACTATAATACATCTCTGAGGGAAAGATTACATTCAGTTCGTTTGCATGAAATACTTCAACAAACCTACCCTCATTTACATTAATTTAAAATAAACTGCAGTTTTTAATATAAGCACAGTAAATATATTTTAAGCAAAAGAAAATTTGATAGTGGACGATTGATGATGAAATAATAATTCGAACCGCGGCTGAATTCGAACTAGCGACCACTGGGTCTCCGGTCCGGTGCTCAGTTGGCTGCTGTCCAAATCCTCATTTCACCTTCAATCATCACCTAGTATCAATACTAGTCTGCCAAACCACGACTATCTCAGATAGTCAAAATGATAGAGTACTTTAAATCTCCTTTTAAAATTTTCGAAAGAAAAGTGAGAGTGCTTTTTGCAACAAGTTCCCTTGAAAGAAGAGAATTATGTGTCATTATGAATACAAGGAATGGCAATGACATAATTCACATGAAACCTGCGTTTTTATGAAAATCAAAACTACTTCAAATCAGCCTGAACCTCCTCCGGTTCCAAATAGTTTTAACTGAGCTTTTCCTTTACAAAACAGATGAATGCAATCCCTAAATGCACTGAAACAATCCTTCATCTTATTATGATATATTATTTGTCCCTTGGGTTCCTAACGGAACATAGGGCTTCAGTAGCACATCTCCACTCAACTCTGTTCTCTGAAATCTTTCGAACCTGGCTCCACGACTGCCCACAAGCTCCCATTCCCTCCTCGCACGATACCCTCCATGTCACCCTCGCCTCGGACGCCCAACTTGTCGCTTCCTATCTGGGTTCCACTCGACGGCCTGGCCTGGCCTGGCACGTGATGTCACCAGTCGGCCTTCTCAGTGTATGCCCAATCCAATCCATCTCCACTTCCTTCCACCGCATATTCGTTCAGCGACAGGTTCTTGATTGGTTCGTTGCCAGCCAGCCAGAGTTCCTTGTTGCAGATTCTTAGTATTCTGGACATCTGATTTTCAGTAACGAGCCAGCGTAAGCAGTTGTTGATGAATGTCTGTAGTTTATTGGAAACCCCTTTCGTAACGCGCCAAGTCTCTGAACCATACAGGAGCACTGACTTGACTGACGTTGATGTTGAAAATCCGGATCTTGTTCACGCTTCATGCTGAGTGCAGATGATCTCCACAGTGGTTTCAGGTTAATGAAGGTAGGCCTGTCTTGCTGTCTTTCCGATCCTGACTGGCTTTGACGTCCTCGTCTGTGCCTATGCTGCCTGTAGTTGAAACAGTGCTTCCTAGATAGGTGAAGGAGGCTACTTCCTTTAAGTTTCTCCCGTTCAGGGTGATTGGAGTTTGTTGTTGTTGTTGGTGTGGTATCTTCATCACCTCTGTCTTCTCTATGCCCACTTGAAGTCCCGTCTTCGCTGCTTCTTCTATCAACTTGTTAGTTTTTGCCTGTAGATCTTCAAGTTTGTGCGACATCAGACATAAGTCATCGGCGAAATCTAAGTCTTCTAGGTTCTTTTCAGTAGTCCAGCGTATCCCCCTCTTCTTGCTCCCCACTATTTGTTACATGATCCAAATCCTTCATCTTATTCACTATTAAATCAACCTAGTTGTATAATTCAAATAATTTGTGGTAAGAATAGGTGTTTCCTAATTCCGCGTAAATACGCAGTTTTAATTTATCAAATTTGGAATTCCGTGTTCAGTAGTTAATATCAGGCTACAAAGACCCTGAATAACATGTCTTCGTTCTTTGTACAATTGCTTCACTTTGTTGTATTAGTAATCACTTCTTAGCCACCATACTTTATCAGGACATTTGCCAGACAAGACCTTGAGATGAAGTTCCGAGTATGTTTTATGGTAGATTCATTGAAATATACATTAAGAAACCATATAGAACTGCAATTAGCCACTGAAGTTAGTGAATATATAGAAGAGATATCCCCAGTGATAAGTAAGTCAGAGAAATGCACACAATGTGAACATTTATCTGGAGCTAATTTATACAATCTTGAATTACAAAAGGTTTTATTTTGTTCTACGAAAACATTACTGGAATAGGTCATTAGAGGGTAATCGGAGTAGCTATCTATTCCTAAGTGCTTAACTCTGATTGAGGTCTATTGATCAAGTTCTGAATCGTGAACAGCAGGTGGAGTGACGTAACACTGCAGTACACAGTGCTAAATACTGAGGACTTGACAGGTACATCCAATTACCCACTGATCAATTTATGTGCATAACGTAATCTTGCAAGAGGTCCATCAAGGCCTAGATAGCTTAGTGGTTAATTCTTTGACTTCAGAACTCAGTGGTACAGGTTCAAAACATTGAAGGAACATCAGTCTTCTCATAGTTGCAGATACACCTCTCTGATGAGTACCAACAAGCACGAAACCTGAACTCAGAGCTCCGTACAGATCAACCTGACACCAAAATACCCACAGTCTTGTGATTAATCCATACCACTAGGAAACTTCTGTTGAATTTTTTTGCTAAACATAGCCTAAGACCAAGATGACATTTCGAGAGAATGTTCTGGTGTTTACATTTTATTTTGCTGACATATATATATATATATATATATATATATATATATATATATTCATTATTTCCATGCTTATTCATGAAAATGCATTAACTTAAAACTAACGCTACTGTCCAAATATAGAATATATTTGAGTAATGTATGTAAATAAATGACTTTCATTAAGATAAATTGTGTAATATCTCATAAAAATTCGAAAAGACCTTTCGTAACTTACAATTAAGAGATTATTCATAATCGCTGGGAAATTCAGTTGACTAGAATTGTTTTCTTGAGGTAATTTGCAATTAGCAAAGCTCTTATTATTGCCAGTGATGTTACTGTTGACTGGATCACTAACAGGTGGGTTGGCTGAGTGTGATAAACTTCCGGAATTTATTCTTGCTAAGGAGTTGGCCAAAATATAGAGGATGGCAATGCTGGCGTTGTAGGTGATGGTGATATTGTTGTGGACTGTGGTACTGTTGCTGATTGGGCTTCCGATATTGGCACCAATGAACGATATTTAAGTAAGTTAGGAATTGAAGGATATTGCACAACTGGTTGAAATTTTTCTCTCCGTCCATCAGTAGCATTCTTATTGTCGCAACTGAAAACGTCGTCACACTTATTGCCTAAACTGCAAAATCCGTTGGCAATCAAGGATGAGTAAGCCATAGATAATGCATTCAAAGTGGTCTGCGTAAGGCTGCCTAACTGTTCAGTCTGATGCACTGTATTGTTGCTATTACGATCGGCTTTACAATTAACTACCTCTGGGAAGAAATTTATTCCAGGACTGGAATTCATCGGGGTAATTAAACTATTTACAGACATTTTCTGATGTATTGTCCTCGCAGTTTTATCAAGTTCAGTATTATTTGTTGGGTGATTTACAAAATTCAGTAGTGATCTATCAAAAGGGTCTATGGTATTGCTATCTTTCATAGTGTTGGCGGTACTAGCGTTAATCGTTGTTTTACAATCTTTATTTTCGTTTGTTATTGAAAACGTTGATGATAATGACAGTGGAGATTCTGTCACTTCTTTGAGGACATTATCAATACTTTCATGGCTACCGTTATTACTACAGTTTCCTCTACTAATATTAATCTGGTTGAACTCTGAATATGAACTTATTTGATCCATTTTGCTATCTGTTTTTGTCATCATAATATTTGCTGCTGTTGCTGTCACTGTTGTTGTTGCTGCTGCTGAGGGAATTACATCCACTTGTTCCTGTTCACCACTAAATTGTCGTTTCTGTTTTTCGTAATACTCAGTAGAATCATTAGAATTCATTGTTGCCAGTATTAAATTGGTAGTTGAAAATGAATTATCAAAATTAAATGTACTTGAAATGCTTTGTGGGAAAATCTAAAATATTCAGTAATTATAACATTGCAAATAAGTTTAATGTTTGTATTTTTGTAAGAACAGATAATGCAAATACCACTTGTAAATTAAATTGTTCAAAGTCCATTAGTTAATAATTTTTATGTTATTCATTTTAATTTCAACGTGTGAGTCTGAAAACAAGAGTTAGTAAGTTCGTCTTATATTGAGTACACTTTGCTCTATACATCAATGTATACAAGCCAATTGAAACGAAACAACTTTGAAAGACTGTAGACGCACTGGTTCAAATTAAGGCTTGAAGAAAGTCAAAAGAATATGAACATTGTTGGACGCAGACTTATAATCCGCTGTCTACTTAATTCAGGTGGTTAAATTCCTCATAACCTTAGTTCTGTTTAGTAGCCATGGCAAAATGAAGCTTGTAGACTATACGCTTTGGGATCATTTTTGGGTAGTACTTTTATACGTTGTATCATAAAATGTCTTAACAACCATGAACAATAATTTTGGGTTTCATCAATCATGAGTGAACTTCCCAGAATTGTTTTTCACACGAAATTTACTCACTTAGTTTTCCTAGTCAACTTTACGTAACAGTACACCCCCCCCCCTATGGCATGGATACTAGACATAATGTTTATTGCTTGAGTTCATCCGAAACTGATTGGTTTGAAGATAGTCTTTTAGCAAGAAGTAATATTACCTATGCGAACGCTGGGGACTTGAAATAATGCCTAAATGTTTGAACTTAGTTTGAGATTACTCAACAGTGGACATCGACAATCTCATGACTTATGAGCTCACTTGAATTAGTACATTGTTTGAGTACTTACTGACGATACTAGATGATGATCGTGCTATACTATAGATGAACAAAGTTTTTAAATTGCGGAATCCTGAATTGCATGTCAAAGGATGAGAGGGAAACTTTCAGCAGCAAAACTCTACAGTCTCAGTTTCGTTCGAGATCATGGATGACGACCACTAAGGGATTATAAATCCCCTGCTGATGTCAGTTTACGATTATATTTGTCGCTTGCAAAAAGTTGTTTTCTAATCAATAACTATTACCATGACAACTAGTAGTTTCACTCTGGATCAAAGTTTGTAGTAACGATGAAATACAGAAATTAAAACTTTGTATCTAATCACCCTGATCTGAAATTGTATTGTCACCATACAGTTTTCTTCTTACAACTAGAACGGAGATACTGTAAACAGTATCACTGGAATTGTAAACGAGGCTGTTGTAACTAACCATTGTTCGGAAAACTTGTCTTTACTTAACTGGATGATGATTGAAGGGAAACGAATACCTGTTTCAAACCTTGCAGAGCTTTAGGCAGTCAATTCTCTATCAATCAGTAGGCCATCAAGTATTACTGAACCAGAATGTTAGTATGACAATAGAATACAAAGTTTGAAGGTATCCTGACCAACAATGGACTGGATGGTTTGAAAAACTTGGGCACTGAATTAGTATGATCCATGATGTGCGTTGTATTTTTACTTGTATAATCCCGGCGTAGTACACACAAGTAAAATACACCTTATACAAAGAATGTTGAACAATTTCCATATGAATTTTTGTATGCATTTCGTAACAGTAATTGACAACACCGTGATGCTAAAGGGATTTGACAGTCTTATTATAACTGCTGTGAGACCTGTGATGCATCGGTTTGAAATATCGATCATTTAGATGATAATAAAAATGTAACTTTATTAGACTGGAGTTCGAAAACAGTACAGCTGACTAACATACAAAATGATCACGACGAAAGCCTGTTCTAGCAGTTCATGGATGTTTAGAATACTTATCATACCCCAGGGATCTGTTCAGCACAAAAGTACAAAGTATTTCATAAGACCATCTTTTAGGGGGAACGAAACGAGTGAACTAATTGGAAAGTGGATAGAACTATGACTGTGACTTTAGTTTTATAGGAAGTCGTTTTGAAAGGGTGAAATCCATTACTGAGTGTGTTTCGTCTCTTTAATCTTCTTACCGAATCAAGATATTGTCCATTCGTCCATAGGAAATGAAACACACAGATAACCTTAGAACCCCAAGGTAAAAATTACCAGCAGATGATGTAAGCTTTTGATAATGATCGATCACAAAAATTATTTAGCTTAAACAGCACAATACAACTGTTAAATAAATTGCTGCATTAATAACGGTCCCAACAACAACAGAATATGGCAAAAAATTATTGCGAATTTCAATAGCATCAATAAATAACTTACATTTTCACTCATATTAGCTATTATTTATTTCACTATGGAATTCGGCTGAATAATTTCTGAATATCAGGAGGTAATCTCTTTGCTTATTCGCTTCAACAATAATACTAATTCTGAAAACACTGAAACTGTTCACAACTGAATGTTAGATGAAAAATTATCGGAATTTGCGATAGACAATTCAAGCGTCGTATTATTGTGTATCCTAACTAGCAAATGAATATTAATATTTGAAATAACAGTTGAACATTATCTTGTATAGTTAAAATAAACCAAACAACAATTCGTTTGTAAGTGAGGGTGAGTGGGTGTAACTTCGACTTTGTTCTTGTTTTTTTCGCTTCTTATTTACAGGGGCTCATAAAAGCATGATGCACAAAATGGTTGAGGTTGTGGCGCTGACAGCAGTGTCCAGTCCCCTCCCACTATCTTTCCTTTTCTTTTCTCATCACTTCACCTGCTTATTCACAACCCAATTAAACTAGTTGTTTCTTTGTTAGCTTTCTTTCTGAGATATCTATTTCTCAAAAAAGCTCAGCATGTGTAGGACATACATTTCACCCCTGTGATTAAAATTGGGATGACAAGTTAGTCCTTGTTCTGTTCAACTAGTTGAACATATATTATTGCCTTCCTTGGTATTGGACACAGAGTTTGATGCTCAATATTGATTGGTCTGTTAGACAAACAGCTGCAGAATTTATTGTAACAGTGTTTTGGCAGAGGCGTGTAGTGATTGTTTTCCTTGTACCACTGAGAGGGATCAGTTATTTTATCATCTGATTTTCACACCTACACAAAGCAATCATCTGTCTGACTGGGAAAACCATGTTAGCTTGTTTTAAATGAATAGACATAAATACACACAAATGTTTGTTGTAACATGTGTGTTGTAAAAACAATATGACCCAGTGCTTCATAATTAATTTCTAACCCAAACAACATTCTTAGCCAATCAAAAAGGACGTCGCACAATGGAAGAGAGGAAATAAGTATTCTCTGCTTAAGCTTAAAATAAACAGAACTATAGAAATTTCAATTAGAAGTTTGTGTGAATTGACTGGCCTTAAAGCGGTTTGTATTACAGATTGATGTCAGCTGCAAAGCCAGTGAAACTTTATTTTAAAATTTGTTACATTAACGAATTCAAAGTTTTAAAGGTCAAGTTATTGTATTGTGAGTCTGATGACATCTGTTTACTGAGTATGGATACACAACCTTCTTTCTGTAGTGTAATTTTTAAAAAAGGAGTAACAGTGTACTGAATTTTTGTTTTCTGTAGAGAAAACAGTTAATCAGAGAGTGAAATCTTGCTATTTAAAATACAGATTTTAAATATTTACTGATTTGCATGAATACGATGTATCAGAATAAAAATGGAGTAAAATGAACAGTTAATAATTCTGTTTCCTTTGATAAGGTCAACTGTTTATCTTTTCAAAATAATTTCGGATTGAAGACAGAAATTTCACTTCTTGTCTTTATTATTCATTTCGGTTGGACTGTACCAACCCTGATGAATTTTTGCCCGGCTACATCGAATAGCCGTTACTATTTGAAGCCAAGTGTTGATACAATTACTCACTCACTCACTCACTCACTCACTCACTCACTCACTCACTCACTCACTCACTCACTCACTCACTCACTCACTCACTCACTCACTCACTCACTCACTCACTCACTCACTCACTCACTCACTCACTCACTCACTCACTCACTCACTCACTCACTCACTCACTCACTCACTCACTCACTCACTCACTCACTTGTTTATTTATTTATTTACTGACATAGTAATAAGCTTATCCGCTTCGCTCTTGTGCTCCAGTGATAGACAGTTGATAAACAACCATAACATAATAAATATCCAGCAGGATCGAGAGATCCGCTGGGGGCCCATGTGCCGACAGAGGTCAAGCGGTTCGGCCCTATATTATTATTATTAGTATTAGTCCCTTGGGTTCCTAACGGAACATAGGGCTTCAGTAGCACATCTCCACTCAACTCTGTTCTCTGAAATCTTTCGAACCTGGCTCCACGACTGCCCACAAGCTCCCATTCCCTCCTCGCACGATACCCTCCATGTCACCCTCGCCTCGGACGCCCAACTTGTCGCTTCCTATCTGGGTTCCACTCGACGGCCTGGCCTGGCCTGGCACGTGATGTCACCAGTCGGCCTTCTCAGTGTATGCCCAATCCAATCCATCTCCACTTCCTTCCACCGCATATTCGTTCAGCGACAGGTTCTTGATTGGTTCGTTGCCAGCCAGCCAGAGTTCCTTGTTGCAGATTCTTAGTATTCTGGACATCTGATTTTCAGTAACGAGTCAGCGTAAGCAGTTGTTGATGAATGTCTGTAGTTTATTGGAAACCCCTTTCGTAACGCGCCAAGTCTCTGAACCATACAGGAGCACTGACTTGACTGACGTTGATGTTGAAAATCCGGATCTTGTTCACGCTTCATGCTGAGTGCAGATGATCTCCACAGTGGTTTCAGGTTAATGAAGGTAGGCCTGTCTTGCTGTCTTTCCGATCCTGACTGGCTTTGACGTCCTCGTCTGTGCCTATGCTGCCTGTAGTTGAAACAGTGCTTCCTAGATAGGTGAAGGAGGCTACTTCCTTTAAGTTTCTCCCGTTCAGGGTGATTGGAGTTTGTTGTTGTTGTTGGTGTGGTATCTTCATCACCTCTGTCTTCTCTATGCCCACTTGAAGTCCCGTCTTCGCTGCTTCTTCTATCAACTTGTTAGTTTTTGCCTGTAGATCTTCAAGTTTGTGCTACATCAGACATAAGTCATCGGCGAAATCCAAGTCTTCTAGGTTCTTTTCAGTAGTCCAGCGTATCCCCCTCTTCTTGCTCCCCACTGTTTGCTGCATGATCCAGTCCACCACAATCAGGAATATCATGGGGGATAGTAGGCAACCTTGATTCACTCCTGTCTTCACTCCACCTCAAAGGCATCACTGAGCTTCCCATTGTGAATTATTTGGCTGGCATATGGCGTCTTCATATAATTGTTGAATGAGGTTGATAGAGGTTTGTGGTATTCCGTAGTGTTGAAGCAGTTTCCAAATTACCTCTCGGTCGACGCTGTCAAAGGCCTTCTCAAAGTCGATAAAGTTGAGGTGGAGTTGAGTTGAGTGCCATTCTATACTCTGTTCTATGATGGTGCGTAGCGTAGCGTTGCAATTTTGTCCACAGATGATTTGTACTTCCTGAATCCAGCCAGCCAGCCAGCCTGTTCCGGTCGTAGTCTTAAATCCAGTGCATTCTTTAGCCTCTCCAGGATGATATGGCATAATATTTTGCTTGCTTTAGGTGGTTAGGAGGGTGATTCCGCGCCAGTTCTTGCAAACACTGAGGTCTCCCTTCTTCGGGAGTTTGACAAGGTAACCCCTCTTCCGATCACTAGCCAGGTACCTCCTCTTCCTTACACACCTTCTGCAATAGTGGTGTGAGCATGTCTGCTGTTGTCTCTGAGTCTGCTCTCAGTGCTTCTGACGAGATCCCATCTGGTCCTGCTGCTTTCCCACATTTCAGTAGCTTTATGGCGTTCAGGACTTCCATTTTTGTTGAAGGATTTACGTCCACTTGTAGTTCGGCGGCTGCAGGTGGTATTTCTGGATGAGGTGCAGGTGGTGGTGGTGGTCGATTCAAGAGCTTCTTGAATTGGTCAGTCCACTGTTTCCTTTGTTTCTCTTCTTTCGTAATTAAATTTCCGTCATCTTCTTTTATTGGTTTCATCTGCGTTGATCTCTTCCCAGATAGTAATCTGGTTATTTGATACAATGTTGTCAGGTCTCTGTCTCCGCTACACGCAGTCTGTTGTGCTTCACTTGCCAGTGTTTCGTAGAAGTGTCTTTTGTCTTTCCGTGCACTCTTCTTCACTTCTTTGTCCAGTGTCTTATGCGTTGTACTCATTTGCTCTTCTCGTCGTTCATCCTTGCACTGATTTATCTTCTGCTTCACCATCCTCCTCTCCTCTATCAGCTTCCATGTGCCCATCGAGATCCATTCCTTGTCTTCTTTCTTCTTCCTTCCTAATACAGCTGTGCAGGTTTCTTTCCACATCTCTTTCAAAGACTTCGAAGTAGATTATTGATTCTCCAGTTGACAGTTTGGAGAGTCCACTCCCATTCCATCTGCCTTCACAAATTCCAAGCACTTCAGTGTGATACCTTCTCATCTCTTTTGCAATCTGGGCTGCCTTGCTAGGTTCAATAATGGTGCGAACATTCCATGTTCCCACGTTTACTTTCGCTTCGATCGAGAGAAGATACATCGGCCCGGCCAATTGGCTTCCCGAAGGCTTTCACCAACTGGCGTCATTTCGCCACTCCGATTCCAGTGAGGGATAAGTTTGTTTTTATTTTTATATATCGTTTATGCTTTGAAGTTTCTTTAGCGGAGAGATTTGTTTTCCGGGGTAGGGTTGCTAGCCCTATGCCCAACCTTCCTTCTTTACCCGGGCTTAGGACCGTCTAATAACTAGTGAACTAGTTAACCAGGCGAGGTTTCGGCCCTATATAGCAACGGGAAATTAGATGTTTCATAACACCAAGTGATACCCGTTGCACAAGAGGTGACCATCGTCCTTCAGTGGCCTGGTAGATAGCGCTTTCATGATTGAAGTGATAGGCACTGGGTTTAAATCTCGAGAGAACATCACTCACTGGGGTACATGTACATCCAAATAGTCCCAAATAAGACGAAACGTGCGTCCTGGATTCCTCTGTTGGTCACCAGGATGAATATGACTTTGGGTTAAAGTTGTCAGCGCGTAGTATAGAATGTTAGTTAAGTGTAAGCTTGTTAAGATCAGTTTACCATATAAAGGTGTAGAAATCTAAAAAGCTTGTCTCACTGAGTGTTACGAAATAATATTCTTTAGTGAAGTCAAAAATAACCAAACACTCAGTCGACAGGAATTAAACTCTTATTCCTTGTAAAAGATCTCTCAGAGTATCTTCATGGGATAGCTCAAAATGGTTCACCTTTTTTAATAAACACTTTT